TACAAATGCTTTTTCTTGATTTTCACTGCGAGGGCCTTCAACAACTTCTTATTTTAGTATTTTTAATTGAAAGATCATTTAACTTTACATAACATATCAAAAAATTAGCGATGTCGGAGAAGCAGTTTTGGAGATACAATTTGGAGATACAATTGCAGGATGCAGTTCAAGGCTTTCATTGGGCGAACGCCCAATGTACTATTCACCCTTGTGCTATTTATTTTAAAGACGAAGAATCTAACGATTTGAAATTTACTAGTTTTATTGCAATTGCTGATTTCACTAAACATAATCATGTCGCAGTTCGTTTATTTCTTACGCATTGTCTAGCGTTCATAAAATGTAAATTGCCAAGCTTACAACAGATTTACTTTTTCTCAGATGGATCAGGAAGCCAATATAAAAATAAGATGACCGCTTTTAATTTATGCAACATGCAAAAAGATTTTGGCATTGCTGCCGAGTGGAATTTTTTCGCAACTTGTCATGGAAAGGGCCCTTGTGATGCTTTGGGAGGAGTATTGGCCACATTATACGCTCGGTAAAAATATTTTAAAATTTTAGTAAAGTATACGAGGGGGGAGGTAGGATCTGCAATGTTTAAAAATTGGTCTACGTGGTTTATGGACAGCCTCCAGGCTGAACTGAATGTTGCACCCAGCTTGTAAGTTACTCATAAATTTCATTAGTCACAGCTGCTGTGACTCTATGGAGACGCATTGTGAACTACCTTGCGTCTTCATCGTTTCCATGCACGTGTGGTGCATATATTGCGGAACAATAATTTTTTATATAAAAAAAATTGTATCTAAAAAACTGCTTCTTCGAAATCGCTAATTTTTTGATATATTATGTAAAATTAAATGATCTTTCAATTAAAAATACTAAAATAAGAAGTTGTTGAAGACCCTCGCAGTGAAAATCAAGAAAAAGCATTTGTAACATATTTTTTTCCTACTAAATCAAATATCTCTAAGTGTTTCATAATTTTTCTTAAAACTACATTAAAACATCTTTCATTTGAAGGGTCAATCGTAAAAATCGGTCAAGAGGTTCAGAAGTTATAAATTTTTGAAAAAAGACATTTTTGAAAAAAAAATGATTTTTTGGACCACCCTAACACGGAAATGGTCACCCTAATGGCGCAATAAAAAATACGAGTCTAATATTTTTTGATAAGGAAGAACTATACCAATTTTCATGAAATTCTGAGACCCATTATAACTTTTTTCTATGGAATTGCTGTATATATATATAATATATATATATATATATATATATATTCTTCAGATCGAGCTTGGCCGGGATTTTTTTTATTATTTTCGTATTTAAATGTTTGCTCATTGCTAAATTTACCAAAATATAGTTATATCTAAGGAAATATTGATTGAAAATTGAAGATTGTAAAAAAACAAGCAAACTAATTGCAACATGGCCGTGACATAAAAGTTGATTTTCAATGACTTTTATGAAGAAAACTTGCAGGCTGAATTGTATTTATCTAAAGCCATTTTGCTTGATCCTAACCCGTTCAGATTTATGGCAACATTTATGGAGGCAAAGTTGCCTGCAAAAAGTTAAAGGTCAAAGTTTGTTTATCTTTTTTTTTCCTTTGGTTTGTTTTTTCCGTCGATCTTGTTTTCCGTGCTGAGCACCAATGCTACCGACGTACCAGGAAGGCAGCTCCCACACCTGGACCCTACCTATCGACCCATCAACTCATGAACCGGGGACCAACGGCTTTACTTCCCATCCGAAGGAAGGCGTGATCAGAGATGTTATGCCTCAGAACATCCCGGCGGCGCCGACTGGGATTGTACCTAGGCCTGCTGGGGTGAGAGGTAATCACGCTTACCACTACACCACCGGCGCCGTTAATTTGTTTATCTTTGTTTATCTTTCGATAGTTGAGCTGTGAGATCCAGGATTCTTCCAGGCGGTTTTCTCCCGATGGATTGGGAGCAGTTACTCAGATAGCTTGCGATACTGTTTTACAACATATCGCATTTCGAACAGCTGAAAGCGCAATCATTTCCGAAAAAGATCCCCTTCTTCCGGATGGTTACAGAAGTGCACCATCCAACGATGCAGGGATGTACGCTTGAATGAAATTTTCGAAGAGTTGATTCTTTTGCCGAATAAAATCGCTGCTATGGATCAGAAACCAGCTAATCTCCGCTAACTAACAGTTTCAGTGGTTTGCTGTCGGTTGTTATTTCGATTATCATCTGTTCACAAGATCTGGAGAAGGCTGGTATGTTTTTAAACTTTTGACAATGTTTTATGAATTTGATGTCGTTGATGGTTTGCTGGTTCTTCTAAAGAAGTAAATTTTGCTGAAATCGACTTGAATTTTTCATCCTACTTCGTCTATCCGTCGAGATTTCCTTGTCATAAATTTGGCATTTATTAACTATGAGGAACCATCTTTTAAGCTCAATTTGTAAACAGAGTAATTGGGGAGTTAATGATGCACCTTAAAAAGCCCAAAAAGCAATAATAAATGCTTTTTGTTTTAATGCAAAACCTAATGGTTTTATGGTTGCTTTTATAATGATAGAACACGTTTATAAAGCATTTTATCAAGACATTAATAAACATTTGCTAATGACGTTTATGCTTGAGTTACAGAACAGTTTTAAGGAGGGATTGATAACAGTTTTAAATTTATTTTTAAAACAAGACAGTTTTTGACTTTCTTGCCAGACTATAAAAGGTTTTTAAAACAGCAAAAAGCTGAATTACTAAGCAGGAATGTTTTACACTTTGAAATGCTATATTTAAACTAAATGGATTGTTCATTGCAATTATAAAACCATCATAAATCAGAGTGGATGCTAAATGGTTACTGAATTGTTACTTGGGGGAGGTTATTCCGAGAGTCAAAGTGACTTTCGTCATAAGTTCAGTGAGAAATCAAATGGAGAGTCACGTCACCACGACGTGGCTTTTCTCATTTCACTAATGCCGAAAGCCATTTCGACCTCCAATTTTTCCCGATTAATTCGGAGCTTTCGATGCCTGTACGTTTTTTTGCATTAGTATAATTGTGTGGCAAGTACCCATCATACTCTATGCCCATGGACGTCGAGAAATTTTCCAACTAGAAAAATTCCTAGACCGAACCTGGAATCTAACCCAGCCACCTCCAGCATGGTCTTGCTTTGTACCTGCTCCTTTACCGACTGAGATAAGGGAGGCCCAACTTGTGTTAAATCTGAATGAGCTGAAGCTTTTAGAGAGTGGTTTATTTATCTAAAGTAATAAATCTGGGAGTGGCCCGTTAAAAAAATGATATTAAATTTCTTCCCTATAAATTTGAGCCAGTCCAATGACCACCATAATCGCCCTTCCCTAGCATCTTATATTGTGCTAGGGCCAAATTTTGCATTCCCAATCAAATCCTCATGAAAGTTTATCGTCGGCAAAATATCAAGCAGCATTAGCATTTGAATCTATCCCCAATGCTTCAAAAAATGAGCGGTCCCAAGCCGATTTATGAAGTGCAAAAACGGTTCACGAACCATCGCGAAAACTTCAATCAATCGTTCCTCGTCCTTCGGCCCACTTATTGCAGCCTGCATCATTGGGTTAACAAAGAGACTAAAAGTTGAAACTATCTGACAAAATCCCGTGCAGCACAGGAAACGAATCCCATTCCAGCTCTCATCGTCCGTGTCCATCAATCTTCTCCCCGTTGGTAGGTTGGTATGTGGGTACGGAACGTACAAAATTTGGATTCTGTCAGTCGTCAGTCAATCGAATCGAGCTCGCCGTCGGAGTGAACGATGGCGCACACTGCTGCAAATGGTAGGTGTTCTATTTGTGGAGAAGATGCAGCACCTTTCACTCAATTCGAGCGAATTTTTCGGCATTCGAGCAGGAATCCAATTCAATTTCCGCTGTGCTGCTACTGGCTGGTACACTGCACACCGGGTATCAGCTTTTTTTTAATCAAGCATCTTTATTGGGTTAAACATCATCAGTGCGCGCCGCGTTGGCTCTGGATGCTTTTTTGTTGTTACTCAAAACAGGGAATATTTGCACCACTTGGCGTAATTAAGCCAATTTCCGCTCAAGATGGCACTGGTACACTAGGAAGACTTAACGCTAATTGAAAAAAATCGCCTCCCACCATGGTCCGAGCGGCTGCAGTAATTAAAGCTCATAGGCCCGGTTCAATTTAACCGTTCTTTGTAGCAGTCATTGGAGCCAGTAGTGATCCGGCCTTCGCTTCAATAAGTCTGTCCAAGCTCCTCCGGGGGTGACGTAGCATGCTGGGTGACTCACTGACTGCAGGATGGCAAAGCGGCGTAACGAATGAGGCAACGGATGAATTATGGACGCACTATCCGTGGGGGACAAACGAACAAACCCTGACCGAAAGCGGCTGGGCGTGTTGGGCAATTAGTTTTTCTTGTCCCGCTGGGAGGATGTCGGCGCTCTGCACTGTCGTAATACTGACTTTGGCTCGGTTCGGTAGGAACCGGAATGGATGATAAGAAATGTGTTTTACTAAGCGAGCAATTTGTACACGTTGGAATAATTAGAATAATTCAGCAATTTGATCTACACAACCAGTACCTGAATGGAGCAAGAGAAAATCTTGCCTCGGATCTAGGATGAATATTCATTCATTCATGGTGAAACATTCCGTGCTTGCTATAGTAGGCGATGTTTCCATGGAGGCACACCATGTCTCAGCCCTTTATCCAACAATCCAACAATTTGTGTGACGTGGACTGATAAATATTTCAAAAGTGGTTTTTCATCCACTACTCAAATGTGGTCAAACTGTGATCGCCTTCCTTTCCGATTTTATCAACTGTACAGCATTCCTCCATTCCTCCAATCAACCACGTTACAATAATCCGTCATCGGCAGAGACAAAACTTGAAAAGATTTAATCATCAAGCACATCTTTTGCCAGAAGCTCGAATAAAACTCCCATCATACGTGAGTACATAGCAGGTTGCTATATGATAGTGATATTTACGTACCTGAGGCACCCCCTCCCATGCCACCGCCAGTGGAGGAGCTGGGCCCATAAAGACTGCTACCGCCAATCGAACTGCCGGAGCTCATCATCGGACTGGGACTGGTCGCGGTGGCGGCCGGCGTCGTGGCTTCCGCGGACTCTTGACGGGACAGCGAGAACCGACGGGGATTCAGTCCCAGCCCTGCCACGCCACTTGTAACGTACTGCTGAAGGGAACTGAAGAAGCTCATTGTGCTCTGCGAGTGCTCTTTTCCCAGTTGTTGTGTAAATGGTTCTTCTTCTTCTTATTATAGCTATAGAATCTTTTTGTATGCACACACACCCACGCACTCAATGAACAATGAACCGCGGTCCACTAGCTAAGCTAAGCTGTTTGAGCTGACACAACTACTTTCGATACGATTCGATGTTTTGCCGGTTTGCTACCTTGTTCATGGTAAAACTTCGACGTTAATCATTCGTTCCAACTGTTTCGTGGGGCGACGGCCAGGATTCGATTACCCTGACCAAACTCGGCAACACGGGGCATATGATGTGCAGTCGGAGCTTCGTGACTGTGCATTTCGCTCCGCTCGACTCGAGGGAGGCTGCCGGAGGCGTCGGGGCTCAACCGGAGTGCTCTTGTTTATCGCAATTCATGACCTGAAATGGGAGAAGAAGAAAAGACCGAATGATGAGGAAATGAGCATCAAAAGTCCTGGAAACGTTGCTGACAGGTTTTTACCCTCATACTCCCTTTGAAGGATGAAAAGTTGAAGAGGTGCGCTACCGAGGGTGGATAGTAAAAAAATATGCATTCAACAAGGTGCAAAAGAAAAAAAGTAGCATGTACCTTTTGCTTCACCGAGCACGGAAGAAGGATCATGAATATTTTTGCAGGGCATCCGGGATCTGGTACGTGCGATGCTTCTGGGAAGGCGTCGACGCCTTTTTTTGAATTGCTTCGTACCTGGGTGTGCATTATTAGGGATTCAATTATGGCGCTGCACTGCACTCCGAAAGCAAACCGGAATGGATACTGTACCGTTCAAGTGGAAGCGGATGGGATGATTATTTATGAAAATGGTTTCATACTCTTTAAAATAGGAAACATGCTCAGCAACAGTTGCTTTTTTTTGCTTTTGAAGGATTGTGAAAAAAATAATTCCTAAGTGTGCAGATATTTGTCTGAGGACAAAGTCGATTGCTAATTTGCCTGCCTGCAAATTCTTTGAATTTGCCTATTGAAGGATGTATACAGAGATAAATTAATGTAAGTGTTAATAAATTAATTTGTGTTTATCTCATGAATTAATTCATTTTAGTGACAAACTTTTCATGAATTCGGTGCGTCGTTGGATATTTCTTTTGCACAAAAACCATACAATAGTTTTTTTTTATTAAAAATGTCTAGCCGGTCGAACTCCGGACGAAGCTAGAACAGCACTACCGTTCATACTGGCGACAACGCTCTGATGAGACAACGAAACCCTACCCCAAGCTCCTCCCCTGATCCTATCCTTCGAAAATGTACCCTTCTAACCTCGAGTAAGCCGCGAGTAATCGGCCCAACTCCTACTAGACATAGAATTAAGTGAATTTTGTTACACACAGTGAACAATGAATTATCGGCTCCGTAAAGCTAACGCGATTGAGCCTTCCAAATAAACGAACTAGATAAAAAAAAAATTAAAAATGTCCACACAACCCAGGAAATTTACTTAGTTCATTTACTTGAGGAAATTGGAAGAACCAGAAGACCTTCCGGGGACAGTCGATAGCCATTTCTAGGGGAATTCGGAATAAAAAATCCCGTGCGATTGAGCCGACGGAAATGGTTTCTGCGCTTATTGGCAATCATATGTCACTACTGTTGTATGTGGTGACCAGCGTTGCCAGTATTCCAGATTTATCTGGATTTTCCAGATTTTCTGTCATCTGGCCAGATACACAGACAGATCACGTGTATATCCAGATTTTTAAAATATGATCCAGATTTTCCCAGATTTTTTAAACATGTTGCTTTAAAAATATCATTGTAATTGATTTTCACTATGTATGTATGTAAGGTAGCCACCATCCCTTCAAAGATCTTGTCTTGTATGCAGCTGCACTTAATAGCAAGATCAATTTGAGCTACCGATCTGAATTCACAATATCGCTGTATGAAAACGGAGGTGCGGACCCGTAAGCAGAGACACTTACGCGAAATCCACGGGAATTTAAGAATCTCCTTCCAACGATACGATCCAACCAATCGAATAACACAATTCGCAATACTTATTAAGCTTCGTACATGATGGTTTGTAAAGTCAATCTCACTGAAACTGTTGAAGTAGAATTCACACCGCCACAATCGAATCGGTAGGTTAAAGAAAATGATAGTGTTTATTCCCTCCTAGACTCCGGTTGTCATACCACTCCATCGTCTAGTCCCAGGTCAAATGATACCCTGATGCTCCCTTCCAACGCAGTACTTATTTATATAATGAAAATATATGTAATGGAGAAATGAAATCTATCGAAACATTAAATATGAAATAATGAATATAAATTTATATAGATAAAATAGTTGATATTCTGCAATGAAAATAATAATTATTTTACATATAAAAAGATGCAGCTGTTTGTTTCCTCAGCTCACAATATCAAGTGGATGTAACACTGAAATTTTAAGGTTATATTAAGCAAACATATATTTTTATCTCTAATTACTAATAATGTAAGGATGTAAATGTAAAGTGTGATGTATAACTAACATGAAAAACAAACCTCCACATACTTCGAGGAATACTCAAAGCTTGAGACAAAGCTAAAATAATTAGTCAAAGAAAAGAAACGTGGTTATTGGCGCAATTTCGTCGAGGGACTCTCACGAGAAACCTCAATGAACACCTTGTGGACGGTGGCTCGGAACATGCGTAACCGCTCATCTTCTAATGAGAGTGAAGAATACTCCAACCGATGGATATTCGATTTCGCTAAAAAGGTCTGTCAGTACTCAGCTCTTGCTCGCTGGATAGACCATTCACAATGCTGGAATTTTCTATGGCTCTTCTTTCATCGAACAACTCCTCACCGAGAAGCGATATGATTAAATTCAATCTTCTGAAAAATCTCCCAGATATCACTAAAAGACGCTTGGTAGACTTATTCAATTCCTTACTAGAAAACAACATTATACCGCCTGAATGGAGACAGGTCAAAGTAATAACCATTCGAAAACCTGGCAAACCAGCGTCTGACCATAACTCATACCGTCCGATTGCGATGCTTTCGTGCATTGGGAATTTTTTAGAGAAAATGATCCTTCGGAGACTCGATCAGTGGGTCGAAAAAAAATAGCTTGCTATCAAATACACAGTTTGGGTTCCGCAAGAGCAAAGGAACAAACGATTGTCTAGCGCTGCTTTCCACAGATATTCAACTGGTCTTTGCCCACAAGGAGCAATTGGCTTCAGTATTCTTGGACATTAAGGGGGATTTTGATTCCATTGAAATTCTGTCAGACAATCTGCACAAATGTGAACTTTCCGGAATTTTAAATAATTGATTGTACAATTTGTTGTCAGAAAAGCAAATGAACTTTTCCCTTGGACAACTGACAACTTCCAGAATTAGCTACATGGGCCTGCCCCAAGGCTCATGTCTCAGCCCTCTTCTTTATAACTTTTATGTCAAAGATATCGACAACTGTTTGGCAGAACAATGCACGCTAAGACAACTTGCAGATGACGGTGTGGTTTCCGTAAGAGGTCCACATGCCGTGGACTTGCAAGGATCATTGCAAAGTTTCTTAGATAACTTGTCTTCTTGGGCTAGGAATCTAGGGATCGAATTCTCGCCGCAGAAAACTGAACTGGTAGTGTTTACTCGAAAGCGGTACCCAGCCCAAATGCAGCTTAATCTTTTGGGCAGAAACATTACTCAATCATTGTCTTTCAAGTACCTTGGGGTCTGGTTTGATTCAAAGTGCACTTGGAATACCCATATTACGTTTTTGAAGCAAAAATATGTCAGCAGAGGATCAACTTTCTCCGTTCAATTTGCGGCACATGGTGGGGTGCTCATCCGGGAGACCTCATAACGCTTTATAAAACAACTATTCTCTCTGTTCTAGAGTATGGCTCTTTCTGCTTTCTCTCGGCAAGAAAAAGTCACCTAATAAAATTGGAACGAATTCAATATCGTTGTCTGCGTATTGCTCTAGGCTGTATGCACTCAACGCATAACATGAGTCTCGAGGTTCTGGCAGGAGTAACACCCCTCCAGAACCGTTTCTGGGAGCTCTCTCTCAGAATACTAATCAAATGCGGAGTGACGAACACACTTATAATTTCAAATTTTGAAGAAATTCTTGGGCTGAACACACAATCTCGATTTATGAGAATCTACCACCACTACATATCGTCAGATATGTGTCTTTCTTGTTACACTCCAGACCGTGCTCACTTCACCAATCGCAGTTCCTCAATTGAATATGATCTGACCATGAAACAAGCAACTCATGGGATTCCCGGTCAACTTCGACCTATTATTATCCCACGTATTTTTTACTGAAAAGTACCAACACATCAATTGCATGAACAGATATTTTACAGTCGGGTCTCATCTCAGTTGACCACTGGCTTCGGTGTCTTCAATGAAAACTCTTGCACCTTCCGCAAACTCCAGGAACCTTGTTCCGTATTTGTTGCTGAGCTGGCAGCAATCAACTTCGCATTGAGGATGATTTCCAACAGGCCCGCAGACCATTACTTCATATTCTCGGATAGTCTCAGTTCGATTGAGGCTATTCGGTCGATGAAACCAAGTAGGCAAGTATTTCCTTTCAAAGGTAAGGGAGCAGATGAGTGTGCTGGTCGAAAGATCATATATCAAGACCGACATTTGAAATGGCCTTAACTCCATTTTGTAAACAAACCTTGTAAGGACATTTTCTCGCGAACCGAAGTCCACAAACCAACATAATGAACAGGTAGGGGAAATTATCCTCTACCCGATTGTGGTTTAGGTTTGCGAATGAAGGTTTCGGTTCGCGAGAAAATGACCTTACAAGGTTCGTTTACAAAATGGAGTTAAGGCCATTTCAATTGTTGGTCTTGATATGATTACCTTTGTATGGGTCCCCTCACATTGCTCAATCCCAGGCAATGAGAAGGCGGACTCTCTCGCAAAGGTGGGCGCGCAGCAAGGCGCATTTTATGACAGGCAAATTTCACACGATGAATTTTATCATTTAGTGCGTCAGAGTACCCTTTCGATTTCGCAAACCGATTGGGACAATGGAAATCTTGGACGGTGGTTACATTCAATTATTCCAAATGTTTCTTTGAGAGCGTGGTTTAAAGGCT